CCAGCAGCACCTGGAGGGTCACACATTTCATATCCCTGTAGTGTTGGCATAAATAAGCAACTGAAGGGATGTTTCCTGAAATCATACATCCAAACTACTCGACTAGTCCATAAGAAATGTCTTACAGTGTTTTTGTGAAGATTCTCAGCTGGTAAGGTTATCTGGAAGTTGAGTCATGGCAACTAGATTTCTTCCTCCTGGTCTGATCTTAGATACAATCTGTCTCCTATTTATCTTGCTGCCCTTTCATCCATCCCCAGAAATATCAGGACCACAAACACCAGAAAGACCACTGTTAGCTACTCTTAACAATCCATGACAGTCGGTGGAGAAGGACTGCAAAAGTGGGATTTTCACTCACCCCCAGTCCTTCATGCATCTAGAGACTAATCAGAACAGGGGGAAATGGAACCAATCTGCAGAATATATCAGGGGCATCCTTCCAACTCTCCTCAGACTGAAGAAGCTACTTGGATGAGTAGTAAAACATTTCAACCTAAAAAGAAAGAAGTCCAGTTGTCATGGCTCAACTTCCAGATAGTCCTACAATGCTGTTTTGATTCCAAACTACTGTACAGTTTTGCATACAGTTGCTCTGAAGTATATTATCCATTTATTTTCTTCCCTGTATGCACACAAATAAGGGTGTGCATACAGGGAATGTATGATACTATGCTGTTAGACATGCCTAAGGGCAGTTCAGTAAATGAACTTAAGCTTGTTTACCTTTGCCCAGGATCAGATGGTTGGTAATTTTAAAAGTCAAATGTAGTATGCATGATAAGCATAACAAATGCTTAAGTGAGGTAATATACCTGTTCTCCACATCTTAAAAGATACTGCAAAAACAGTATCAAGTGAAAGGATTAAAAAGTTTTCTGATGCGCTGAACTGTTCTAAATTTTTGTAGTTCATAATCAGATGCATTTGAGCCAAGCAAGATCTCACAGATGTAAATTTATACCTGGGACTATTAATATTTTGCAGTCATATATTTCCAAATCACTAAATATGGCAGCCTGCTCCAAACTGGTTAAAATAGAAGTTCTTAAACTATGATAAATTCAAGCTTACACTCCCAATTGACTTTAGCAGCAAATATACAAGAAGGATATTGTCCAACAACTGTGGGATCAGTGACGTATAACAGATCATTTTCTGCAGCTGCAGACTCACTACTGTTAAGATGAATGATCTTGGCAAAAAAGATATCTTTTGTTAAGTAAGCGTAATAGTTTCAATCTCGACATTTTTGCAATCTTCGCATTCCTTACAGAGTTAAAACTCCATGAGAGATTTCCCTGCCTACCAACAGACCTAATTATTAACTACTGCAGTTGATGGGCTTTTATAAATATAAATATATATTAAGGAATCTATGGGCTTAAAGGTTTTAAGGCGTGCTCCAAAAACACTCATGGGGCTATTATGAGAATCATAATAGCCCCATGAGTGTTTTTCAGGTGTGAAGTAAAATAGTGCTTTTCAGGTGTGAAGTAAAAATAGCTTTGTATCGTGGAGGAAACTCAGGGTATAAATGGGATTAATAAATAAAATAATACTGTATACATGATAAAATAGTGCCATTTTGTATGGCAACATATCTCCACTAATAAGGATAGACATTGATTTTTGAGATCTTATAATATTTCCTGTTACAGACTGCAATTGTTGATTATATTTTAAATATTTTGAAATATTTCTTCTCCCTTTCTTTCTGAAGGAGAGAAATTTCCTAAGCTTTTACATGCAAGCAACTTTCTGACACTTCTATCCCCTTTCTTGTATACTTGGCACAGTCCTTCCAACATCTCTCTAAAGCTATTTCATAACTGAAATAAAAAAGTTAGTAAAATATTTATGAATGCAAAGTTGAAAACAAAATTACACATGTAAGAGCTTTCCAGATCTCTTTATCACAACCATTACATATTTGGAACAGTGACAAATGACTGCTAGAGACCACAGTCTCTCAGATTCTTTCTAATTTGAGCCACTGAAAGCATTTTGTGGCTGTTTATGAGTTGCAGATAATATTCTTATGGCAACTTCCTTAATTTGCCAATGGAACAAAATCAATTTTTGCCTTCTTATTCGTTTAAGAAAATAACACTGTAGCAACTCTGTGCAAACATGTGAAAATTCTAATGAGTTTCAGGGTTTTAGCATGAGGGTGGTTTATTGTTGAGCACAGAGAAATTTTGTGGTCCCAACCAAAGGGATGAAATGTTTACAAATGTTTACAAATATGTAGGAAGGACCCCCTATACCCCAAAGACCCTATCCACACCAGTTTGCCCTAGACCAGGGGTCCCCAACTTTTTTCGGTCTGTGGCTAGGGAAGATGGGGCACCCCTCACACTCGTGCGCATTGTGAATAAGTGCACTCGCTCTCTCGCACAAGCACACCCGTGCGAGTGCTGTGCTGCCATTTGAGCATGCACACAAGTGTTTGCTCGCTCGCATGCACAAACGGCAGCGTAGTTCTCTGGGCGCTCGTGCGCATGTGCAAATGGTGGTGCGGCGCTCACATGGGCATGCTGGAGCGCACATGCAGGTGCAAATGGGCTGTCTGGGGGTGAGTGCATGTGGGGGTGGGGTGGGAGGTCTATCTTGGCGGCCCAGTCCAGTTCAGGCCACGGACCAGCACCGGGAAGCGGACTGGGGGGTTGGGGACCTTTGCCCTAGACGATCCAAAGATTCAAAGGATAGCTATAAAATGCTGTACCTGATTCTCCCCATATATTATAACTAGTACACAGTTATCTGTTGTACACTTTTTAAATTGCATTTTGTATATTTTAGCATCCCAGGGAACAAGGGGATGGCTCAGTGCATTCTTGCTGTGGGTAAATGGTCACCTCTACCCACTCCAACCCCGTCACTATGTTTTACTCCTGCACAGAGTATATCTTTTTCATGCTGTGTTTGTAGAACTCAGGTTTCTTTAACTTATGTGTCTTAAAAATTCAAGCCATTTCCTTATCTAGTAGAAATACATTTTACACTTTTATCTACGGTATAAATGTAATTTTTAATTTTTAAGTCTTTTTCCTGAGCACTACTGATATGAAAACACCAAGAAAGGGTATGCAAATAAACACTTAACATTTAATTTCAAAAGTAGTAGTATGACCAAAAGTGCTGCAAAGCCTTTTATAATTTAACTGAGTATTCCACAATACGTTTCCTGCAAAAAAAAAACAACCCTTATGCTACTGTCAATTTTCCTTGAACAAGTTCCAAACGATACCTTGGAAGTTTTGTTTTGTTTTCTAAACACTGTAGTAGCATTGTTTGAGACATCCACATACGATACAGTCTTTGTACAGGAAGGGGATGGATTACGTGCTAGTACCTTGACATCTTTCTTTTGCACGGGAGCCGCAATCTCCATCATGCTTTACTAGGCTGCTTCCAGGAATAATGGCTTAACATCCAGAACACTGTTTTTTTTTTTTTTAAAGTATAGTTTCCCGATTTCTCTAACATTAACACCTGACGAGTCCTAGAGAGTGTCAAAGCTCAGTTTGCTTCCTTTGAGAAATTCAACAGATATTATGCAATTAAGAGTTTCGATTGATCCATTCAATCTTGTCTATCCGATTCATGCTTACTGTTTATGTTAATCGTTTCTGCTTTCGTACTACCGTTCGTTCGCGTGTGCCCAATGTCACATTTTTGGAATACCTCAAAACAACAACTTGGAGGAGTCCACATTCATTAGTTTCTACCAGAGTCTCACATATTCAGAGGTTCGTGAGGGGGGGAAGAGGAGTTCCTCGCATGTAAGTGGGTGAGGGGGAGGCTTCGGCCTACAGTGGGCACGTTCGTACCACCGGGGTACCGTTCCTTCCTAAAGAACCGCCCCTACAGCAAAGGCGTCCCTTTCCAACCGGCACTTTCCCAAAAAAAGAGCGCACCGCCTTCCCCACGCGAAGGCCAGGCCAGTGAACCCCGCCCCGGGGTCTTTCGGCAGGGCTGTCCTCACCATTGTGCTCCACGCTTAGGTGGCCGAGTGCCTGAAAGACAGGCGCCCACACTATACAGGCTCTTGCGAAGGCGCACTCCGGAGACAGCGGGAAGGTTGGGGCTGCACGGCTCCTTATCAGGCATTCCACGGGGCAGCCTCAGCCCGTGAGGACCCCGCCGCTCGCACCCTGCCCTGCCCTGTCTCTCTCTCTCTCTCCCTCGCGCGCGCGTTCTCTGCTGTCTCTTTCCTTTTTTCCCCCCCAACCGAGTCTCGGTGCAGAGGTAGCAGGAGGAGCCGTGCCAGTGACGGGGTTGGAGTGGGTAGAGGCGACCCTTCGCCCACAGCGAGAGTGCACTGAGCCATCCCCTTGTTCCCTGGGATACTTAAATTTCATACACTCAGCCCCAGGCGCGCGCGCATTTCACACGGTGAGGACGGGCGGGGGGGGTGTTCTCTTGAGAGGACCGTTGGATAGCTGTGGGGGAGGGGGAGAAAAAAACGAGGCAGGAAAAGGGAAGAACGCTGCGGCGGGGCGGCCCAGTCACGTGGGGGGCGGCGGCGGGCACGCGCTCGCGCGAGAGGGGCTCTTTTTTTCCCCTGCCCTTTCCTAATTTTCGCCGGCGGATCCTGCGAGTCAGTCAGGTCGCCTGGAGTCGTGGGCGGCGGCGGCGGGAGGGGGAGAACGGGACCGGCGTCGACAGGTGCGGCCCGGGTCACGCGTTTTAAAACGGGAGGAGGGGGGAGCGTGGGAAAACAACACGGGGGTCTGTGGAAGAATAAAAGGAAGTCCTGGCGGGACGCGACGCGGCGCCCTCTCTCTTTTCCCGGCCTTGTGTCACTTGTGGCGGCCCGTCCGGTCGCCCGCTTTGGCTTCTTCCCGCCCCCCTTCCAAGTCCCGTAACGCGCTGTTCTCTCCTCAGTTGAAGCGATGCCCTCGGCCACCAACCAGAAGTCTCAGTCTGAAACTCCATTTCAGAAGGTATTTATTGTAAGGTCAGATCAGTTGCTGGAGAGACCTTTTTCCCGGGCGGCAGCACGAGTTCGGTGCAGACCGAGGCCATGAAGCAGATTTTGGGGGTCATCGACAAGAAACTGCGCAACCTGGAGAAGAAAAAGGTGGGGAGAGACCCCCTTTCCCTCAGTCCCTCCCTCCCTTTCCCTTCGCTTAAGTGCCTGTGGGGCTTACCAACGAGTGGTGGGTGCGTGGCTGGGAGGTCTAGTCCCCACTACGACTGAGAGCCCAGAGGCAGGATAGAGCCCCAAATACCTCTCCCCGTATATGTGTGTGTGTGTGTGTGTGTGTAAGCGTAAGCCCCCTATCTCCGCCTCTCGCAGTCTCCGCCGCCTTTTGTTTTCGAAGCAAGGAGGGAGGGGGAAGGCAAGGCGGCACGGCCTTCTCCCTTTGTTCTTGAGGCCCGAACTGGCACCTTTCTGGCGCCTTTGGTGATGGAGGCTGCCGTTTCCACCACCATCCCGGGCTTCTCCCCATCTTCCCCCCCCCCCTTCGACTCGGAGATGGCCTTGGCAGTAGCCTTCCCTTCCTCCCTCCCTCCGGAACCATCCACTCCCTCCGCTTCGCCCTCTACTTTGCTGCACATGGAAGCGGCCAGGACACAACATGGCGGCGGCGAGCGGCAGGGAGGCTTCCCAGCGAGCGAGCGAGCGGCTCATTGTGTGAAGAAGGGCTGCTGCACAAAAGGCTCGGCCGCCGCCGCCGTACTTGGGGACAGCCTCTCGCATCTAAACGCGCGCTCCCGCTCCTCCTCTCCTCTTTCCTTTCTATTTTAGTTGCCATTTCCCCAGCGTTGGAGAAGAGGACAAGAACTGAATACGTGACCTCGCTGCCCGATTAAAACGGGTGCGGCGGGTTAACGGAAGTGAAATAGGCGGCTTCTGCTTGTGGAAGCTGCCTCCGTTAGTTCAGTAGTTGTTTCACTTGCTTTGAGCACCAGAAGCTTAGTCTTCTTTGTGGAGATGAGGAATAAGGGGTGGTCACGAAAGAAAGGGGTTGCGTCAAGAACATATTTACAAAGCGTTGCTACAGAGTTTAGTAGGGTGGCCCGTGTTTTATTGTGCTAGAATTGCAGTCCTAGGCTTTTCAAGTGATATTATTGTATCAATGTAAATGAGATCAAAGTTCATAATAATGTGAAGGAATTCTGTGAATGTTTGGTTATGATTGAGTCTTCCTTGTTTACACTGATGAGATAATTTGTTGCAATGTTGAGGGTAGTACCAGATTTCCATCTTTTCAGGAGGAAATTTCAAAATTGCCTCCCTCCATTTCTACCTTGGGACCATTTTGAGTTTCTGGTCATGAAAGATAACCATATCTACTTCTGAATAAATTTTCATTGTGATAACAGTAAATTGTCACAAGCTTGCACATTGTGTGGCTTTGCTAACTAATGTAGTTAGCTTAAATGCCAGAAAATTTGGAAGTGTGGAGCAGATGAGGGCAATAGGGTAACAATTCCAGTTGCGGCAGGTTATAAATGATTTTGCTGTGGCATATATAATCTGAATAGGTTTCTTAATAAATTATAAAGTGACAAAAATCATACAGCCTGCTCTTATATATGTTAAATTGGTCACAAGTAACTACATGGTAGTACATTAGGTTAAATATAAAACCATATATTAAGTGCAAGTGCTCCAGAAAACAATATTTCATAACCATTGGCATCAGAATCTGGGCCGGCTTAGACCTTATAGAGATCCACATCTGAGGGTTAAATGTCACCTTACTGGGTTAGGTGTTTGTTTTTTGGAAGATTATATATTTTTCTTTTGTCTTGAAATTTATAGATAGACTACTTTGTGAAACAGTATGATATAGATTCTGCTGTCCTGTAAGCCTGAATTTGTCCCTATGACATATTAACATCTGTAAAGCCATTTTAGAAAGGAAATGCGGTATAAATATCTGTACTGATTCAGGTGTTAAAGGTGAGTTTGAATACCTTAGTTATGTAACACTGTCCATACTAAGGATGTTTGTAAAAGTACTGCTAAATTGAAAAGCTGTAGTATCAGGCTCTTTATTTTTGTCCTTAGTACCTTCATCAGTAAATCTAGTTTGTTTAGGTGTAGGTATGTTCTGCTGTAGCTTGCCTTGGTGTATGAGTGGCATCACAGCACAGACTTTATGGGGAGTGTACGCATTGTCCTAGGTCAGATATAAGAAGATTTGTGGCTAAATTACGACGATTGACAATCATACTTTATCTGATCATGTTTATTAGTGGCATCTATATGAAAGTGAATCCTATTGATATCATTTGCTATCCATAAAACATTGAACCATTTTTGTAGGATTAGATAGCTAACAGCCATGTAAAGAAGTCTCATTTGCTTGAATTGATATTTTTTGGCAATGGCATTGAAGTTCTTTGATGAGAAACACAGCTTACCTATTTGTATTTATATTATTTTGTGTAGAATGTAGTGTTCTGAAGAACATTGTATGATATTACAAGTAGGTAAAGTGCTTATTAGGATCTAAAAGGATACAGAAAATATTATTTTCAGTATGTGAGGATATACAAACTCAACTTTCTGAGGTTCCAACCCTTCTGCTAGTTTGTAGATGTATGGATTATTCTGAGTATTTGTAGAAGACATCTTTGCTGATTTAGCTTCTGAACACAATGATTATCCAATGGAATTTTCCATAGTTTGAAAAATTTTAGATGGCAGTTAAGGGGGGGCTATATAGAGATTGCACTCCGTTCCAATATTATTTTAGCAAATAGTATTTGGCAAATACTATTTGCTAAACATGCCTGGCTTGGACCCAGAAATGTCTTATGTGAACAGAAGGTTGTTTCAATTTGCTCAAAACAGCCTTGTCAAATTCTCCTAATCTTCCTGTCTCATTTTAATACCTCCTTTGCCCAATCACATGCTATTCCAGATGGTCCTTCAACTAGAGAAATGACGTGGGGGGCACAAGGACCTATATTGGGAGGCAAGGAAGGTATGCTGTGTGGAGTTCTTGGTTAATCTGTCAACGTTAGTCTTGGTTGATACAATAAAGATGTACATGTATATTGACTAAATAAGGAAGACCCAAAGATTTGTAAGAATACTGTACTATATGAATACAGGGATCTAAATTCTAAATGGAACAACAGTAGGGTGGTTCAGATGTAATACAATCAAAACTAAGCATTAAAAGAATAGGACAAAACTCTAAAATGTTGAAAGTAGAATACGAGATATGAAAATTAGTTCTTCACAGAATCAATTTTACTGGGTATATTTCACTGAAAAGCATATCTTAGAGCTTATACTGATGCAAAAATGTGAAAACCACTAAGGTTCTTATAATGCAGGATGGAAGAGGTTATGTGTCATAAAAGTTGTTTAATGGCATATTTTTATGTTAAAATTATGTTTATGTAGTAGAGAGCATAAAGCATTGGGTATGCCCAGAACTGTGTATTTTCTGAGCAAAATGTGTATGATCTGAGCAAGTTTCAGACTTGTTCAATTAACTTTCCCAGTTTAACATCTGGATCAGTAGTGCAGTTTGCATAAAAGCTTGTCACAAAATATAATCTGGAGTAAGTGTGCTGTGAAAGCGTTATGACTTACACATATGCCTGCTTTTTATGGGAGATTTCCGTTGTATAACAAATTGTATAGAGCCTAGTGGTAATTATGGATAACTGCCCAATATAATGAAGCAGCTAGAATTACTCACACAGAACACTTTTTAAAAATTCTCACCATATAAAGGATTGCATGTACAAATAATTCACTGTAATGTAAACAGCAGCCTTACATGTATTCCTCAGTTTTCGCCAAACAGATAGAGTTGCCTGTGTTTTTACCCAATAATTAAAGTATTTGTAGTACAATTCCTGCATTTTTACAGAGAGGTTCCACTGGATTCAGCATGGAATAATCCTAATAGGAATGCAACAATTAGTAAAAGGCTTAATATGAGCCTTTTATATTTTGATGAACTGCATCAGACATGGGTTATTCATACTTGTAAATGAACACGAATATTCTGGTCCCAGGTGGCTGGAATACCCAGTCCTGACTCTGGGAACTGACCCGTCCACTTACGGGTCTCCACATAGCACAAGTGGTCGCATCAATCTCTGACAAAGCCCAGCTGGTGCTTCTACGCCTTCCTGCTCTTCTGACCACTCAGCAACTGAGTTGGGAGACTCGACATACCTCTCCTTGACTGGAGTGACCAGAAGAGCAGGGAGGTAGAGAAGCTCCAGCCAGGCTTTGTTGGAGAATGGCGTGATGAGCAGGACACCAGCCACATGCTGTGTGGTGACCCATAAGTGGATGGGTCGGTTTGCGTAGTTGGGACTGGAGATCCTGGCCACTTGGATTTGGGAAATTTTTATTCATTTACAAATATAAATATTCCCATCTCTAAATTGCATGTTAGCCATAGTTAATTATGGAAGAACATGGTCACTCTTGAGAAGGTTGAACATTCTCATTAGACTGGTGTACCAAGTCTCAAAATGTTTTACTTCAAACATTCTTGGACTCAACTGTCTTGAATTTTGCAGAAATATTTTATTACATGTAGTTGTCACTATCTGAAAAAAATTGCTTTTTTCCTTTCTTCTTTTGGGGAAAGGTCAGGTTTTGGTTTGCATTAAATTGAAAGTACCAATACGGAAAATCTGGACTATTTCATGTAAGTTTCTGTTGGCATCCAATCAGCAGAAAGTGTTCTAACTCACCTTAATACATATTGCTGGTTTTAGTGCTTAAAACTGAAATACTTTTTCATAATTGCTTGCTTAATTTTGCATATAAAAATGGCTGCTTAGAAGAATTTTTTTGGGAATCCAACATTGTGTTCTCTTGTTCATATCAAATCTGTTATTAATTTGAATGAACTGCCTGGATAGTTCAGTGATTTAGATATCTGGCTGCAGTTAGATTCCCCACTGTGCCTCCTTGTGAGTAGGACCCAGCCTGTGTAGCCTTGGACAAGCTGCGCAATCCCAGGATGTCCCCAGAAGAAGGGAATGGTAAACTATTTCTGTGTCTTGACTTACGACTGTCCTGATTTACAACCATTTTAAGTTACGACCAGCTCCGGCCACAAAATGTTGCTTCTGTTTGCAACC